TATATATATATATATATATATATATATATATATATATATAGAAATATACATATATATTTCTTATTTTACGAACATACTTAATGATGTTAAATTATATAAAAGTATATGGATAATATAGACTTTTAATTGTAATTTATATCTAAAAATGTGCTTCATGTTGATTCGAGGATTATAAGATTTTTAAAAATCATGTCATGTGACGCGCTTCATGGTTTTTGCCATTCCATAAATTACGATGTACTTACTCATCGATAATTTCGTTTTACTTGAAATAATATGAAAATATCATGAACAACTTTTTAAAGAGGAATAAAAAAAATTGTAAATTATATTAATTATATAAATATATAAAATAAATTTTAGGATTAAATATTTATAATAACGAAAATATATCTAGTTTATTAATTTATGAAATATTTTAAAAATATTTTTAAAAAATAAGTAATTCTATTTGCTAAAAATGTTTAAAATAATTTATTCGAAATATAATATGAAAATGCGTAAAAGTATTATGTAATAAGTATAACTTTCTTAATTATTATTTAATTATACATTATTATCATTATTTTATAATATTGATAATTTTATCCAAAAGTAAATCTTAAATTAGAAGTTTAAAAAGCAAGATTTTATATTCTACAAATCCATAATCTTATTTATATATTTACAAAATAAAAATTTGAAAAAAAATACAAAGTCTAGAAACTGCTATAATTTAATATATCATTATTACAAAGTATCATAATAAGGATAAGAGAAAAATTAATGTCTGCAAAGATCTTTAAAAGATAAATAAAAAAAATTTACAATAGAATGGATATATAAATAAAATAGAAATTAAATAATTTTTCAGATTTTTTTATATACAAAAAAAATTGTGTTTAAAATATTTATATATAAAAAAATTGCAAATAATACATTTTAATTATTATATAAGATTTTTTAAATATAAGAAATACATAAAAAATGATGATAAAATTTAAAAGATAAATATCTACATAAAATAAATAGAAAATATGGAAAAAAAATATATTATAATCATATAAGTATTTCTGTAGAACGCCGTTTGTATTCATAATATAATTTCCGCAAAGATACAACCTGTATGTAATAGATTGTAATAATTCACGAAGAATACTAAATTCAGAAATAGACTCAAGTTGCTCAATATATTATGATTTATGCGTCAGTAGTCAAAAAATAATTTCATTGGATTTAAAAATAGAAATACTATGACTTAAATTTAAAATAAAAGATTTAATTCTATTGTGTCGAAAACACCTTCTATCTTTTTATGCTAAGTATTCTCAGTTACAAATATTATTATCAAAATTAAAAACCTAATAATCGTATATTAAACAAGTGAATTTATATTGGCTTTTAACAATATATACTATCTTGTCTCAAAAATAATATTTTGATAATACTTTTTAATTGAAAAAAGATTGAAAATTAGATTTCTTTTTCTTAATAAATGCATAAAACTTTATAAATATTTTATAAATTTGATAGATAATAAATTTGTTAAATAAAAAATAATATAGAAAAATAGATTAAAATATGAGTGAAACCTGTATGAGTCAATCTGTAAAAAGATCAAATATATATTATTACAATTGATGTATGTAGAGAAAAAAAAAAGATAATAAAGGATTAGGAATTGATCAGTTGTTACTTTTTATATTATAATTTATGGTTTTGTTTTTTTTTTTTAATAGATACATGAAAACCCTGTTAATAACTTATTTGCTATCTTCAATTAAATTTTACAACTTCATACAAAAATCCCTGAATGATACAGATAAAGGAAATCTCTAAAATAATAGAATACAATAGATCTCATATAATCCAGTGAAAATGGCATTATTATTCTCAATACTTTTGATATACAATAATAATCATTATTAATTAATTAGGTACAGGAACACTTTATCATTCGTGGTATTAATTAAAGATAATCAATTACATACAATAAATTGTTATCAGCCATGGTGCATCGCCTCCTTCGGCGTCAATTTTCAATGTAGATACTACATTTTCTTAATTTCATTCCATCAAAAGTTTAAAAATTTGTTGTTTAGGAAGCGAGCGCCTACGACTATTAAGAATCGAACCAGTATGCGAAGGCCATTCGAGAAGATTCAATCACACGTTCGATTTTTAATTTTTCTTTTCTCTTTTTTTTGTTCGTTCTAATTGGTTTTCTAACAAAATTGTTAAAGACAGATAGAGAAAAAAAAAGTAAGAGTGATCGCATTATTATTGACGAAAACTCGATGTTGTAACGCAAACGTTTAGAAAGTAACGATGCTGATAGTATTCTTTAGCGTTATAACGATTACTAATGATTAAGCTTGCAAAGACTACGATGAAGTTTGGAAAAAAATATATACAAAACGCTCGATGTATCAAATTTATCCTCTCGATATTAGACCCGCTGGTCTCCAATTTAATAAGTATCTCTTAACCTTTTTTTCCTTAGGCTTACTTCGACCTTACTGCACTAAAAAGGCACAATTTTTCGCACCTGATAAAACATCGTTACGGTCTAGATACTAATTAATCTTTTTTTTTTTCCACCAAAGTACTTGTTTCCCCGATGCCAAATGCATATTGCGCGTCTATTTTTCCAGTATGTGTTACGTTTATGCAGGAGCTTATTTTACAATGTCAAATGGATGATAATGGTGGTATGACAAAACATGATTCTTAAGAAGATACACTATTTTGAAGCGTTTAAAAAATAAATAAAATGTGGATATTTTTTTCACATATAATTACTAAATGAAAAATTTTTTCCGGTAATGTAATATAATTTTTAATAATAATGAAATTTTAGCTTTCCATTTAATAATTATTAATAGAAAAAATTTTATGTTTTATTGATATCTTAGACGTTTCAATGTGGTATATCTTCTTAATATTTTTTTTCGCAATATTTTCGAATGCGCGATATATTACGTATATTAAACAGAGCGTGTGTATTTATAATGCACGTAATATATCTTCTTAAAAACTAATTTGTAATAATGTTCTTTCCTATGTAAATCTAGGGTCTATACAGACCTTACTAAGGCGAATCTACGCGGGCCTTTGTACAGTCGTTTGGAAAACTATGGGAAGTCTTTAAAGGTAGTACATAATTCTAACGAACTAAAAAAAGAGGAAGAATTTTAAGTTTTTTTAGACAAATATTTAATAAAATATTGATAAATAAATTTTGATAAATTAATTTTTATTATCCTGTTCAGCAATATTTTAACTTTATTATTGTTTAATATTTATTACTTAAAGTTACAAAAAATATTGTTTTATTTGTTAGGATCTTATTAGTTTGCATTTAACAGATTGATTTTTTAAGATTGTTTTTCTAATTAATTTCAAATTTGAATATATTATTTTTTATTATATTTTATAATATATTATATTTTTATTATATTATATTTTTTATTATAAAAAGTGTCTAAAATATAATGTACGATTTTTTAATATTTTAATTTATTAAATTGTTATAAATATTTAAAGTTGATTTTTTTCCACTGAAAAAAGAAAATATTTTTTTTAAAAGGCCGCTATTTCTTCATTTTTCAAAATTATAAAAAAATTGTACACTATATTTTAGATATCTTTATAAAGAATAATGTCCTATCAAACATGACAATAAATAATGTTGTATTATTTTATATTGTAACTTTTTTGTATTGTAACTATTTTGTAACTTTAAATGATAAAAATTATACAAGAATAAAAAATATTGTTTAATATGATATTAAAAATATCAATATTTTATTAATAATAACTTAGAGAAAAAAACTTAAAATTTATCCATTTTTTTTTGGATCGTCAAAAGAGTGTACATCCTTAAATAAAATTAGTTGCGGCACTTGTTCGAAGATAGCACGTTCTTTTTTTCAGAATAATCCTTGTTTCAGTCTATCACTCGAGCGTCTTGACTTGCGCCATAACTTTACCCTCCCATAATGGTAGGACTTCAGAATCGTCGGTTATTTCTTCTTGAATAACCTTTGTATCCAAGTCCTCGCACTCGGTTTTAAAGAAATATCTAAAAAAAAAAAAAAAGAAAAAAAAATAAATATAATAAATATATGAATAATATTCAAAAATAAAAAATATTATATATATAAAACTTATATAAATAAAACTATTTATGCATTTACCGATAGCTGCCTTTTTTAGGAAGGTATTCTTTAAATTGTTTTAAAGTGATATTGTGACCAGGAATTTTAGTCCTATAAGGAAACTGTTCGTCACAGAAACTGAACACAACGGTGGTAAAATCTCCAATATCTTGCTTCGTCTTCTTTAACGTTGATTGATTAGATTGGACATAAGATTGACTTTGTGTTGTAGGCTCATACGATGATTGTTTAGAAATATTAGAATGACGTTGTTTATTCGAACGTGCTCTATCTTCTTCTATTAATCTTCTTCTTGCTTCTTCTAATTGGGTTGCCTATATAAAAAAATATATATATATTTAGATTTCTGATAAGTATTATTTAATTTAAATTATTGTTATATTGTACTTTATATATTATTAAAAATAAATATAACATTAAATGAAAATGTTTACTGTATGAGGTTGTGGTAAAGGTGGCATTCCTGGATCTGCAACAAAAGGTTGAGCAGGAACACCCCATGTTTCCCTGTTTGTCCTTTCCAAAGAGCCACTACGAGAACCATACTTCTTCCCATGACGGCTATGTTTGATATCCGCTTTTTTGTCAGTTTCTTTAAGCCACGATAAAAGACGAATATCTTTGCTAATTGTCGATGGTGGTGCATCACTTACAACGCTAACACCACTATCAGTTAATTCCGTCATAGATTTCTTTGTGGCTGATCTTCTAGTCATGTCTGACCTTCGGAATCTTTGATCATGACCTAAATAAAAAATGTAATATAATAAATGTAGGACAGAGAATGTATATTTTGATAAAAATTTAAGATTCAATGCATTATTGATTTTGATATTTGCTCTAAATTATACCTTGAAGATACAAGTCTTGTTTATGGAGGGAATCGGCATAATCAGATGGCACGGATTTAGATTTAGGCAAGTGAGATCCTAATGAACTCATGGAGCCAGCTCCGACAAGATCGCTGCCTTCTTGAAAATCGTGAATATTACCGCTATCTGCTGAAAATGTAGAGAACACGTCCTTTTCTTTTCTTTGTTTGTACGGTCGTGGATAATTGTGCGTAGAACGTCTTCTTTCAGGCGAATGCAGTCTTGGAGATGAAAGTCCTGGAGATCGAGAAGGCGTTAGATCCGACCAAACTCGTGACACATGTTGATCCAAAATTGCTTGATCGTTATCTTCTTCTATCATTAACTTTTCTCGTAATGCATCAGCTAGCGCTTTGGCGCTAAGTGCTCCACTTGACATTTCCAATGATGGATCTTTATTAATTGCATCACTCTCTTGCAAATGCCTATCGAGTTTTTCCTGAGATTCTCGTTCACGTTTAACGTTCTCCAACTTCTCAATAAGCACTTGAGCAAATTCTTCCGGTTTCAGAGGATGCATTAAGTCACGCGGTACTCGCTGTGTACGAGGGATGATAGTATGATGCGCCAGCGGATCACGATTTAAACTAGCTGAATCTTTAATAGCTCTACTTTGTCTTATATACTGTTTTTTACTTCGTTGTTTACTTATTGATGCTCCATCACTGTAAATAAGAAATGTTTGAAATTTTATATGTTATTAATATAATAGAATACGAACATAATTTTATTTTATCCTAAAAAGTAAAGCTAACGATTATATTCATATCAAGCAATGTTATTTTTATTAACTGGATAAAAAAATATTGAAAAATTTAGATATTCTTAATATTTTAATACCATAATACCATAAATTATTTTAGTTTTAACTCTTTAAATAAAAATATAAATAATAGAAAACAAATAATTATATTTCTTTTATTAAATTTTTGAAAATTTAACATTACAAATAAAGAAAATATATTTTTTCAGCTTTTCATAGCTATAAATTTTAATAATTATGATATATATATATAATCACTTAAGATATGAAATAATACTTTGTTATCTCTTTAAGAATTCACTACAAAAAATTGAAATAAAATTTATGAAATCAAAAAAAAAATTTTGTGACAAAAAAGATTTATGTATATAAATTTAGATGTATGATATATATGAAATGTATGAAATAATAAAAAAAGAAAATATAAATTGAACATAAAGGAAATATTAAGTAAGATTACATTTATTGAAATATTTTTATTGTGAATTCTATTTAGAGAATTTATTTAAAAAGGATAAGAATTAGAATGGAAATTATTTTTAAATAATAATAATCCTATTATAATATATATAATATATATATAAATTATTTATATATAAAATAAGAAAAACGTACACTGATGAATCGGTGAGAGACATATTGTCTGACTCAGTTCGTGCATCACTGCTTAAGCTTTGAAGTTCTGAATCCTGTCTGGATACTGGGTTATATGAGGAATATTGTGCGTGCAGTCTGGGTGCGAGCATATGATATGGACTAGTTCCATGTTGCAAGTAAATGCTATAGCGCCACGCAATATGTCAAATCAAAATAAAGAAAACAAACAAAAAATTAGAAAAGATTTTGGCAAAAAATATATTATAACAATCTCAATACATTTAATAAGAAAAACAATGAAAATACTTATATAGTATATTCTATTCTTTTATATTTAGTTTCATGAATTTTGGAAATACTATGTATTTATATAAAATATTATACACTACAAAACATGGCAGAAAATCCACACAACAAGCTTAAGGAAAAAAAACAAAGTTGTTTATTTAATGCAAATCTAACTCTAAAAAGCATACTAATTAATGAATATTTTAAATAAAAGTTATATAAAAAATATATATTACCCAGCATACGCTTCTGGCTTTGGCCGAAGATCCAACGCCCTAGTTTGTTGAGTAGCCATAAGCATATCTTTGGTCAATCTCAGTTCACCTCTCAATTCCCCAGGCGTTTCACTAGCTGAATGTGAGCTATGTATGGAACTAACAAATTCACTGTCTTCATGGACAGTGGGCAATAAACTTGGCCCACAAGAAACAGACATTTCTCGACTGGACCCCGAACTAGGACATCCACCAGAATCCGGATTTTGGCAGGACTGAACGTATTGAAGATACATATCGGATCGAAGAAAGTTTGGATATGTAGTCTCATTAATAAGACGTTCAACTTCCAACTGTACGGCATCAAATACTTTTTCATCTGCCCTTCCTTCTTTAACCCGACGAATAGCCTCCTTTCGAACATCTTCTGGTATAGCTAACTGTGACTTAAGAAAGAACTTTCTATAGATAAGTTTAACCAATTGATTTATCCTTTCAGGATCATCTTGTTCCTTGAGGCCTTCACAGGCAAACCAGAAGTTAAGAGGATTGGCATGAGGTCTGCCTTCTTGATCCAAATATTTTCTGAACAATTCCAAGCCCACTGGATCCTGCAGCAAGGAATGCAGGTTCCTGGCCCACCGCAAGCAAGCAGGTGGTGAATCACTTTCCATAGTTGTCGTACTACAGCAACCTTCCGGTTCAAATCCCAAAGGTGCCGAAGCATCGCAACCTGAAGCTGTTGGTGTTGCAAGAGAAGAACGCCTAGGGGTCAGAGTTGGACTCTGTGGACGGAACCTGCTGACGTAGTTTCCTGTTTCCTCTCCTATAAAATTTTTACAATTTACTTTTATGTTTCTAGTATTAATAATATAAAAAATCAACAATCTATAAAATATTATATGGAATATTTATGTCACATAATATTTTGATTTATTATAACTAATAAAATTGTAAATAATTTCATTAGATTTTGATACCTTTTATTAATTTTACTATATAGTAATATTATATAATATAATAGTAAAATATAAATTTAGTAATTTACAAATATTTTCTCAATAATATATACTTACAATAATATATTTATATATATAGTTAACATACATATATATATATATATATATATATATATATATATATATAT